ATTAATAAAGGACCAGTTACAAAGAGTAAATAACTTAAAGTAATTTATATCAGATAAAAGAAAGTATCAGAGAAACTTATGCAAAGCTGACAAATTTCCAGGTACATATGATCTACATTCCAGGATTAAGGCGAAGTAACTCCAAAGACAGTGGCTATAATGGTCTTGCCTTTTGAAAGATTCCCAAATTCTGGTATAGTCCCAAAAACTTGGAAGTAGCAAATGTGACACTAATATTCAAGAAAGGAGGAATAAGAAAATAGGGAACTATAAATCAGTCAAACTAACATCAGTTTTTGGTTATATGCTAGAATCTGTTATTAAGCTTAGCAATATACCTAGCAAATCATTTTATGATTTGTGAAACAGAAATCATATTTGCAAAGTTTGACAGAGGTTTTGATGACAGGAAGTCAGTCGATGTCGTATACTTAGACATCCAAAAGGCATTCAGTAAGGTGTTACACAAAAGGATGTAACATTAGGGGTACAATATTAACCTGGCCCACACAGCACAGACTAACAAAAATCAGTTTGGACACTCACTATATAACAACTTTATTTTGAGTGAAAATAAAATCAGACCAAATGTGAAATGGTCTACTGATTGATCCTGTCAGTTTCCTGGGCAGGTTATGTTAAATTTACATTTCAAGCAGTATGAAACTCTTAAACTTTAAAGCTGCGTGAGTGGATTCCCTCTCCCTCAAGAAGAGGCCTCTGAGCATCACATTATAACTTTTGGTTAATTGCTGTAATTTGAATGCTGCAATAATCTCCAGTGCTGTTTGAGCCTGATGTTTTTTTACCACATGATTTTTATTTCTAAGTCTTTATCTTCATCCGGCTGTAATTTCGCTTACAACAATGAATTTGCCTGGATGGGAATTCCTTTAGGCTGTCACTGTACAAGTAAATTTGGAAAATCATAAACAGTTCTATATTTCATACATTATATACCCTAAACTCATTTTTACAAAAGTCAGTCTCCCTGGGGCCATCAGAAACCTGTATTTGATGTTTTCACCTTCACAAAGAGATTGTCAAGTACCTATGGCATCTCCTGGAGAGTAATCTATAAGTAACCACCTTTTCCCATAGGCATGCATCAAAGGTTTACACCTGGTTGCTTTCAAAGAAGCGCTGGTGACATAAACTAAAACACCCAATTGCTTCAGGAGTCAAATATACACTTTCCTTATGGAAAGGACAAACCAGGACAACAGGCTCAGAGTCAGGACAACAGGCACAATGGTGTTACCATTACTGAATACACCACTATTGGTATCCTTGGGGTTACCATTGACCAGAGCTCAACTGGACTTGTTACAAAAATAAGGTGGCTACAAGAGCAGGCCAGAGGCTAGGAATATGCAGTGAGTAACTCACCTCCTGACTCCCCCAACCCTGTCCATCATCTGTAAGGCACAAGTCAGGAATGTGATGGAATACTCCCCACTTGCTTGGATGAAATCAGCTCCAACAACACTCAAGAAGCTTGACACGATCCAGAACAAAGCAGCCCACTTCATTGGCATCACGTCTACAAACATCCATTCTCTGCACAGGCAATGTTCAAAATAGGAAGGATGTAAAATTGGTAACAGGAAATAGAATACCTGTTAGGGGGACACAGAAGATAGGAGAAACAAAGGCGAGAATTGAGTATGTTTGAAATGCGGAATGCTGTCAAAAAGACAAAGTTAAGGCCATGCTTCCTGAGTGCACGCAAATGACCTAAGGCAGAAGTAGAGGTAAATGGGTATGATCTAATTGTCACAACAAAAACATGTTGCACAGGACCAGAAACATTCAAGGATATCAACTTTTAGGGAGGGCAGACAAGAAGAAAAGGAAGGTGAAGTTGCACTGATAATAAGGGAAAGGATCAGTATACTAGTAAAGGAGGATGGCAGATCAGCAGAACATTATGTTTAATGTGTTTGAGTGTAGCTAAAAAGCAGCAAAAAGCAGCAGACATTGGTTGGAGTCATTTATAGGCTAGTGATTGTTTGGGTCATGGTATTAATCAGAAGATGAGAGAAGTATGTAGCATGGCCAACACAGTAATCACGGGTGAAATCGTGGATAACCAATTGAGCACTAAAACTGTGCAGGACAGATTTCTTTGGGATGGTTTCCTCAAACAGTATGTTGAGGTGATGACCAGAGGACAGGCTATTTTGGAACTAGAATTATACAGTAAAAAAGGATTTATTAACAATCTTGTTGTAAAAGAACCTTTAGGGATGTGTGAACACAGTACAATAGAATTTTATATTATGTGTTAAAGTGAGGTAGTTCATTCTTGAAGCAAAAGTATTAAACTTGAATAAGGGAAATTATGAGGCACAAATTGGCTGATGTGGAATGGAAAAATACATTAAAAGGCATGACTATAAATTGGCAATGCGTTTTGTTTAAAGAACAGTTACCTACAGCAACTATGTGTTCTTCTAAGGTCCAAAAACTCAGAGAAGGTCAGTTAACCGTGGTTAACAAAGTTAAGGATTGAATAAGATTAAATGAAAATGCTTATAAAGTTGTCAGAAATAGTAGGATATCTGGGGATTGGGAGGTTTTCAGAATATGCAAAGGAGGACTAAGAAACTGATAAGGAACGGGAGATGATGAGTGCAATCTAGCAAAAAGTGTAAAAACGACTGTAAAAGCTTCTATGGGTACGTAAAAAGAAAAGGTTTGGCCAATACAAATGTGGGTCCATTAAATGCAAATCCTGGAGGATTTACTGTAAGAAATAGAGAAAGGTCAGAGAACTAAATGATTACATTGACAGAATTTTACAGGGGTCTGAGAGACATTGTCTATGATGAGATGCGTAACAGAATTGGGCTACAAATGTGATGAGGCTCAATCTGACATCAGGAACAACTCACATAAGCTTTTATGCTTTTCAGCGGGGTGAGATTCTTGCAAAGTACTGGCAAGTTACCAATTAACAGGGATTATTACTTGTTAAAGCTCTTGTTAACAACCCAACTTATCACATTAATATTCAACTTCCCATCGACTGTCCTTTAGGGAAGGAAAATGCCATCCTTACTTGGTCTGGCCTACACGTGACTCCAGACCCACAGCAATGTGGTTGACTCGTAACCGCCCTCTGGGCAATTAGGGATGGGCAATGAATGCTGCCAAGCCAGCGACACCCTCATCCTATGAATGAATAAAAAAAACTTACCAAACTTGACAAACAAGCTCAATGACTGAAAAACTGGCCAAGGAAATGAGAGTGAACACCAGGCAGATTTAGCTTGCTTCAGAGATAGTAGGAACTGCAGATGGTGTAGAGCTGGATGAACACAGCAGGCCAAGCAGCATCATAGGAGC